TCTCGCTCTCTGGTGAGTTGCTATTTTTGTGTCCCCAACAAAAAGTTTACAAAAAATCAACAACAAAAAAGGAAAAATAACAATAAAACGCAAAAGAAATGATAAGATGCAAGCAACGCATTTTCATTATGCGCCGATTATATGGTCAAGTGCTTGGGCAACGTAATTATCGAAAGTATGAGCATACCCCCTATGTATATATACATCGAGTAAATTGAATGAAAAGTTCAGTTACCGCAGCGTTTCCTAGATTCGGAACTTGTTTAAGTGAGCGGCGCGGGTGGTGTGGGGTCCACCTGGACTTGTGCTGTGGGCGTGGCAGAGGGCAGAGGGGGAGATACAGGCGGTTGGAGTTTGACTTTTGATTACGGCCGAATTCTTGGCTCGTTTTATAGGACAAATGCGCCCTATCAATGCTACGTAATGCAAACAACAAAAACATTAGCGACTGATAAGAGCTCCATAGAGTCGTCGCAGCGCGAGAGTGAAATGAAGAATGATTGTATTACCTATTTGCTAGGTAACTAAGAGAGCCGATTTATGCTTTGGGTCAGAGCAAAAGCCGTAGATATCGAAAGAATTGCTGTTAATTGATCGTATCGTACGCTGATTGAGTTCTAGGCAAATGGGAAATGCGATTTGGGAAATATTTTCATGGACTGATAGATAGAGAGATGAAAAGACAGATAAGAGGTAGGGAGAGAGAGAGTGAGAGATGGACAGAGGGCAGGTGGGAGTGGAAGAAACGGTGGGGAGGGAGGGAGGAAGAATTAGAATAAGGAGTTAGAGAGGGAGGGGAAGAGGGGGAGGTGCAAAAAGAGATGTGAGCGAAAAAGGGCGCGGGAAATAGAGAGGAGAATAAGGTGTACGAAGGCAAGGCAGGGGGAGAGGCAGGTGGAAGAGAAAGGAAACGAGGGGTGGTGAGAGCAGGCAGAGATGGGAAAAGAAGCAGCAATAAAAGAACAGCGACAAATAGAGTGAGGAAGGTTGAGATGAAGATGGGGGAGAAATTAAGGAAGATTTCGAAAGGAAAAGAAGGCAAGCAACTTGCAATGCTAACTAAGAATTGGAAAAGCTGACAAAAGTCCAAAGTGCAACTTCAACTGAAAAACTGGTAAAGCTCAACGTAAAGGTGTGTGGCAATGTGTGTGTGTGTATGTGTGTGTATGTGTGTGTGTGTGTGTTTGTATGTGTGTGTGCAAAAATGATTATAGTAACGCTTCGATGAACTGTCAAAAGAAAATGCGTGTGGTTTCAATTATTCAACTATCACGAAATGCGGCACGATTTCGTTTACTTGCCACATGCCCAGAGCGCCAGACCCACTTCTAGTACTATTTAAATTAGGTTTGCTACTTCAACTCTATATATATATATAAGCTGAACGTTCAATGAGAGGTTTGCGAATTTAACAATTAACAATTTCTGCCTTTAGCTCCTTCGAAGCTCTGCATTTTTTGGCCTACAAATGGAGTCACTGTAAACCTGAACCAAAAATGTGATTATTCAAATACGATTTCATTGTGGTCGACATTTAACACCTTTAACATCCAACTATTTCGGCTCAAATCAAAAATGCCAAAGACAACCAAGCGAAAAATGTGAAGACGCGACATGAATCGCATATGAATGAGATAAGATTTGGTTTTTGAATTGGATACGAATCGATTTGATTTCGGGCTGAAAGAAACTGAAATTGGAATTTAAACTGGGCTTTCAGTCAATCACTTTGTAGAGCAATACTTGCAGCTCTCTTTGCCTTGGCATTATTCGCATTCGCATGCGCAGGGAATTCGCAGAGAAGTCAACTTCAACTCAAGGAACCTCATTTAGTATACAAACATTGTTGGAGACAATAGAAAAAATTGTTGACACACATCAAATTATTGTCATTGTCATTGTCATTGTCATTGTCATTGTCATTGTCATTGTCATTGTCATTGTCATTGTCATTGTCATTGTCATTGTCATTGTCATTGTCATTGTCATTGTCATTGTCATTGTCATTGTCATTGTCATTGTCATTGTCATTGTCATTGTCATTGTCATTGTCATTGTCATTGTCATTGTCATTGTCATTGTCATTGTCATTGTCATTGTCATTGTCATGTCATTGTCATTGTCATTGTCATTGTCATTGTCATTGTCATTGTCATTGTCATTGTCATTGTCATTGTCATTGTCATTGTCATTGTCATTGTCATTGTCATTGTCATTGTCATTGTCATTGTCATTGTCATTGTCATTGTCATTGTCATTGTCATTGTCATTGTCATTGTCATTGTCATTGTCATTGTCATTGTCATTGTCATTGTCATTGTCATTGTCATTGTCATTGTCATTGTCATTGTCATTGTCATTGTCATTGTCATTGTCATTGTCATTGTCATTGTCATTGTCATTGTCATTGTCATTGTCATTGTCATTGTCATTGTCTTGCCATTGTCTTTGCCATTGTCATTGTCATTGTCATTGTCATTGTCATTGTCATTGTCATTGTCATTGTCATTGTCATTGTCATTGTCATTGTCATTGTCATTGTCATTGTCATTGTCATTGTCATTGTCATTGTCATTGTCATTGTCATTGTCATTGTCATTGTCATTGTCATTGTCATTGTCATTGTCATTGTCATTGTCATTGTCATTGTCATTGTCATTGTCATTGTCATTGTCATTGTCATTGTCATTGTCATTGTCATTGTCATTGTCATTGTCAGCCCTCACTTAATATACACACATTTATTAAGAGACTGTCATATGTGTAGATGCTGCGTCTTAATAGGCGCAAGTGTCAGCTGGTTGGGCAAGAGATAACTTAATCTGTCCGATAAATTGATTAAGAAAGTTATGCTGCAAGCGTAACACGCATAACTAACTTAACAACTTTTAAACACATTTACACAACTATTAAGTAATTTTACTCAAGTCAAGTTTTCAATGGTAAAATCAAAACTCAAAACTGATTGTTATTTGAAGGTTCGTTTCAGCTGCGCAGAAACAGAACAGAAATATTTGGCTAAAATGCCTTGAGATCGAATTCGGTCGTTTTTTCTGAGGGAGATCCATAATACTCAAAAAGTATATATTGATAATTGAATATCTCTAGCTTCAATGGATGAACAGATACAATAACAACAACCAATATACTCTCTTATTATGTTGCTAGCCGAGCAGCATGCCGGAAATAGCCGTTGGAAGAGATTCAACTTGAGTTTAAGACCAACATATGTACGTGTGTGTGTGTGCAGCTCCTTATTTATTTTTAATAAAGCAGAGACAATCATTTGGGTCCTTGCCTCAGCTTCCTTCACGGGCTGACACACTTTGCTAACAGTATAACAGTTGGCAGCAGTCAACAAAAATTTAATATGCATTCACACACACATACATACAGACACACACACACACACACAGTCACCTGCACGTCAACTAGCTGTGCTGTATTGTTAGTCAAACATGTGTTCACATGGCTTATGCGTAGCAAATTTTGATTATATTTTCCAAACATTTCGTTAAGCTGTGCAACTTAGCTAGCTGGAGGGTATATTGGTTTTTGTATGCCTTTGGCGACAGTTTTGAAAACAAATCAATTTTAAGCTATGATCTCTCTAATATCGATAAATATCGATTAAGCGCTAAACATGCAGTTTAAAGCATTAGCTCACCCCAAATCAAATTTTCAAGCTTGTTTTCATATATTTTACAACATTTGACTAACTCATTTGATAACTGCCAATATTTTGTCAAAATCGATAAATATCGATAGAAGTTTTAAGCAAAGCGTGTCTTAAGACACTTGTTGCCATGCTCTAAAATTATATTTTTGACATCATATTTTAGTCTAACATGCCACGCCACACATCTTACAGGGTATCCACTTGTCGAGCAACATGTTTCAGTGTAAATAAAATTCGATTTTAATTTGTTTAGCTCTTATTTAATTTGTTTATTTTTGTTTTTTTTGAAACTATTGTTACGCAGTTTTGTTTCAAGTGTATCCACTGTACTTGTACCTGTGCCCTCACCTGTGTCTGTGCCAGTGCCTGCTGCCTCTTGTCTCTTCTTTGTATTAGCATTTGGGCCTTTGTAGCCGGGCAGCTCGCTCTGTAATCTGTGCATCGGTACACACAGAGTTGACCAGTCGCTGAACTCATACAACTTTATTCAAACACACACACGCACACACACCCACAGGTGCAAATACACATGCAGCTACGCATACACAACAATTAGCCATTGAAATTGATAACAATTTTTAATTACGGCGCCGGCTTTACGTTTCGGTTACTCGCTCGGCAAGTGATCAAGGAGAGCATATTCGCTTCAAGTTGAAAAAGTTGGCATATATATAAACTATATATATACTATATACAATTTTATGTAGCGACTCTTTTGATCTATTGTTAAGATGGTATTTGTGAGCATGTCTAATTGGGTATTACTGCTGTACTACTGTTTTGGCACTGGCAGTGAGACCTGGTATATTTTATATATCTACTAAGTTCCAGCTTTCTGGGAACCTCTACAGGGTCAACTGTTTGAAGACCTCTTAAGAAAAGATCGCAGCTTTATAGCTGACTCACACTGGATCAACTCTGTGAAAACTTGAATTTCCTTGCACATTTTTTTACTCGAACGAGTATTGGGCAGTCAAATATGCTCGACTGCTGCATCTTGTTTTGAGATATTTTTGTTTTATTTACGTTTTTTTATCTTTTAGTGCGGGGGCCAGCATTGAAATGTTGAACAGATATATATATACATAGAATAATATATATATATATATATACATTTATATATATATATATATTCATGCAATTATCTTTGTTACAGCTGAAAAGTATTGGTCGCAATTGGGGCGCGATAATAGAGCTGTTAACGCTTTGTTTAAGCAAATAACTGTAATTTCTGCTGCTGCAGCAGCTTTCGATATCCGATTATAAAAATAGATTTCCATATATATTTTAACTATATATATTTTTTTACCTTTTTTTGCAGCTTGCAACATGAGCTGGAGAAACAATTGAGATTTTGTATTGGAAAAAAGGTAAATTAAATTTCATTTCTTTTTAAGTAAAAATAACAAGTTGATCACATCTTAAAGCTGACAAAAGAAATATGTGAAAAAAGTAGATCAAATCAAAAATCAAATGGGGAAAATGTCAAACAGTTGAGAGCTTTTCGAGTCCAAATTTAGCTTCTTTTGCGGCACAACAACTATTTGAACATACCTCGTATACCTGCTGAGTGAAGTCGATGCAATTAATTCGATCATATAACGAAGCTAATATTATCGTGTCAGAACTATGCCTCAACTATCGATATCGCTTAATGATACATCTCTAAGAATGCTCAAGGTCAAGGTAATGCTATTGAGCTAACATGCGGTCATTAGTTCAGTTTACATTATCCTGTTTCTAGTTATTTATTGAACTTTTGTTGACAGCATCCATCTCATTCATCTTCATCTCTGTTAACTCTATGCTATCGATAGTGCAAATTCCTCTTAACATATCGATAAATAATCGTTATATGTGACATCTCTAATGATCCTCATTGTTATTGCAAGCGTTCGCAGTTTCCTGTTTTGAGGCTGGGAATTCGAGTCATACTGGAGACTAATAGCTCCATAACTGTTGATCTCAGCTATTGCGAGGGGACTTAGGTTCGCTTGGTCTGTGGGCGTGGCGAATGGAAATCGTGCAGACATCTATTCAGAATTAGCTTGTCGAAGGCTCTTAAGGTATTATCCATGTGCAGTGATGAATTGAAATGTGCTCGAAGCATACATATTTTTACGTATTTACATTATTCATTGTTCATTATTCATTATTGCGTCTCATCTCTCACTGTCAGCTTTAGCCTCTGACGTATGCAGTGAGGAAGGCCACCCATGACCCATGGGGCTGTATATTCAAAACAGTTAAGGCCCCAACGATAACGCATTGATCAATGGGTGTATCAAGGCGCATTAGTCGAGCAAAGCCCTACCCCAGATGTCAGCGAGCGCGGAGATAACGTAATTGCGTTTCTCCTCTAAGCCTCAAATGAACTTAATTAATTACGAGCATTCGTTTTCTTTAAACCTCAAGCGAATTATTATTGTTTTGTTCTCTAAATTTTACATTCATTTTCGCGTATGTTGGTTAACAAATTTTCAAGCCAATTTTCACTGCTAGAGCAACTCTTACAGCTACCTAAAAGATACGATTATGATGTGATATGCTTTGACCTAGGCCAAGAAAATCTCCTTATGTGCTTGACTATTATGGCTCTATAGATATTTTTCAGTTTAGCTAAGATAATTGCAAAACAAATTCACTTTCTTTTCTAGACAGCAGCCTTGAGCTATTGTAGAATGATTTTAGTTTTATCCAAAACTTTGACAAGTCATGTTTTCGTCTTATTCACTATCTAAGTCGAGATGTTTTTATTCTGTGCGTCTTAACAGCCTCTTCGAGCTGACAGCTTCATGAGTTTCATCAGTTTCATTGGCCATCATCGCGTTTATCAATCTTTAGAATCATCAGCTTTTGCCAAACCCAGGCACATGAGTGTTATCAGAATCATTAGCTTTATCAGCCTCATGAGATTCAGCAGTCTCATCAGATGTCAGAGTATCGTCAGGGCTCAGCAGTTCTCATCAGGGCCTTCTTAGCTTCATCAGCTTTATTGGCTTTATTAGCCTTATCGTCTGCAACTGAATTTAGATATTAATCAGGCTCATCAGGGATCATCAGATTTCATCGGGGCTCAACAGTGGTCACAGTGTCGTCAAAGCTCATCTGTCTCATCAGATCATTAGTCTCATCATAGTCAAACATGGTCAGAGCGTCATCAGGCTTATTAGCTTTCATTGGCTTTTCTAGCTTTAATTAAATTTTATTTTTGATATATTTCGATCATAGATAGTTTAATTTGTATTTGTAGTTCCTTCACGCGTTATTCAAGTGTTCGTTTGTTGGCAATGTAATGTTCCCACTAGTCGCGTTTGCTTCCACTTGCAACTTTTGTTTTCGCATTTGTTTTGATATCCTAGACACATTGTAATTGGGTAATGTAGGCGATGATATATATATATATATATATGTATATGTTTGTATATATATACATAATCCTTAGATTTACTTGTTTTTAACATATTAATATCGATAATTATCGATTTCCACAAGTTGTTTTATTTTGCGAACATAACTCCAAGGCTCTAGCTCAAAGTCGATCAGAATTACCTAATTTCTAGTCGCACTTTTGTGAACACCTTTTAGCCGAGATATTCATGTTGTTGTCTGGGCTAAAATCTGATGCCAGGGTATTGTCTAGTCGCTCATCGGTCGCTGTTGCGATGTTGTTTGCTTTTTCTTTTCGTTTTTTGTTTTGGCTTGCGATTAATCATTTGTCATTGCATTGCCCTAAAGTTGTGCTATAGTTTGTTGCCACGCCTCTTAGCCCCTAACGCCGTGTGTCCGTCTGTCTGCTTGTGTGTGTCTGTGGCGCTGTTGTCAACCATTTGGTGCGTGCGTGCGTGCATGCATTGACGTCACAAGCAACACAGCCAAATGCAGCGCCAGCCAGTCACAGAGTTTGTGCATGTTGCACGCAAACACAAAATAGTCAAACACTAACTCTTTGCCACATTGTCCCGTGCAACTGCCTCCAACTTCCTCCGTGGAACCTGCCACGGCTAGCACTCTAGAGCTGAGCTCTCCCAAGTAGTAAGCAGGTCAGGCCTTCTGCCCAGGCGACTCAGTTGACTATGCACAACAAGTAGCAACAACAACAACAACAACAACAACAACATTTGGGGTCGGCTTTTGTGGTAATGTTGCAAGTTGTTCTGGCAGTCTCTTTTCGCTTCGTTCCAAGTTGTAAACCTCAAAGGCCATGCCCCCGCCCTCCCCTTGAACCACTTCCACGTCCCTACACTCCTCTGCTCTGGCCTCGACTCGCCCCGTGCCGCCTGCTTCCATTTCATGAGCTGCACAATAATGTTCGTTATTTTCCAAATTGAAATTGATTTTTATGAGTGCAACCGCTAGGTAGATGACTGTACTTTCTGCCGTCGCAATCAGCTGTCTGTTTCTTTCCACCGTTCCGCTGTGCTGCAAGGCGGCGGCGTTCGATTTCTTTGCTGTTTCCATTTAGCCAAATATGCAAATATGCAAATCTGGCAGAGTAGGTCAGCAACCGCAGGGTGACTGTCCTTTGACCTGTCTGTTTCATTCTACTGTTCCGCCATCGTGCAGAGTATATGACATATTTTAATAGTCGGACATGCAAATATGGACACAATCGCAAGGTTATTGTACTTTCTGTAGTCACAAATCACTTGCGTGTTTCATTCCACTGTTCCGCTGTGCTTTACTGCTTTTTCATATGGTTGTATATGTAAATATATGCCTGGCCAAGTATTAGCAGGCTGCAGGCGAAATGTGTGCTCTGTTGTTTGTTTCATTCCACTGTTCCATTTGTCTCTAGTGTTTCATCATATAAAAAAGGGGCAAATGTGCTTCAGCAAATAATAAGACAACTCTTAATTTTTGATTTATCTGTTTCATTCCACCGTTTCGCTCCACCGTAGGAGCTGAGCAGCTCATTTTTCTTCTGCTTACCCCACAAAAACCAATTTCAATTAACCAAATATGCAAATAAAGGACTGACTGGGGCGCAGCCGTATATATATATATATATATATATATATATATATATATTGATGAAATCAGATAACATTTACAGCTCCTTTTGGCTGCCTTCAATGGCGGCGAGGCGCTTATTTATATTTAAAGAACTTTGTTTTGTTGACTTTTGTCGCCGGTATAAACAAATTTACCAAATGCCAAGCAGTCAATCAGTCAATCAGTCTGTCAGTCAGTCAATCTGTGGGTCAAACAGCTTTAAAGTCCCGCTCAGTCGACGGTTGTTGCTAAAGTCACGTTTTGCATTTTGCCTGACTTCATTTTGTTGACGTTTGACTTAATGCTCTGTAAAATGGTTTAAAGTTGAAGCTCTCAAGTGCTTGGGGTGAGGTGTTTCACTGCTCGAATAGGCAAACAGACTTATTCGAGAGTTTTTAGCTGCATTTCAATGGTAGAGCTAATGAAATGGCAAAGGAACACTTGGAATTGGAACATGGAACTCTCAAATTTACAAACTTGTAGACATGATATTAATAAAAATTACAGAAATATAAGTTTGAGCTACCAAAAACTGAATTTTAGCTGTTTTTAGGGTGACCATATGAGAATTATTGTTGAATTTTCTTCTTGCTGTGTTTTCTTCAAGACTTTTTTCTTCACTCCTTACAATCTCCGCTTTAATGTGTTGGCTAGATGACTTGGCATATATTAGTTGTTATTTCGATTGCTGTATGTTATCGATAATAGTTGTTATCGAAAATAGCTGATCAACTTATATATGGTCAGATACGCATTTTTTACAGGGTATTTTGATATATTTCAACTTGATTGTGACTTTCAGTATTATATTTAATATATGTGCTCTCTCTTTCTGCCTCTCCCCCTCTCTCTGTTTCTCTCTATTATGCCGCCTTTGTTTTCGCTCTGTTTGAGTTTTGAATTGAAATTTATAGCTGCAAAGCATTTGTTGTTGTTAACTTCGATTGACAAATACTTTGTTGCGGGTACTTAAAGGCGATATGCCGCATGCCACATGCCGCACGCCGCATACCACATGCCGCATGCCGCATGCCGCATGCCACACGACATTTCAATTACCGCTTTTTGCATGCTTCTGATTGTGAATAGTAAGCCTCAGTCGAGAGACAACAGCAGCAATGCAACAAAAGGGTTAACAATGTAAAACTGTGTGTGTTGGTGTGTGGGTGTGTGTGTGGGAGTTGAGGCAGGACTGTCTGTTGTCTTATAATCAATAAGTCAGCATCAGCAGAGTGAGAGTGAGGAAGACAATGCAAAAAATGCCCAAAAATTGGACTCGCTTTGCCTGGACCTTTGTTTGGTTAGCTGTGTCTGTTGTTGGTGTATGTGTGTGTGTGTGTGTGTGTGTGCTGCTGTGTGTGTGTGTTAGACTTGA